CAGAGGAGAGAAACTCATATAAGCTGACCACTTCAGAGTGAGTATATGGAAAGGAAATGTTCATTTCTTGGTGAACTGACCCTTTAATGATTTAAAGCCCCTGATGCTGTGGTCTTGTAAATGACATTAAGTTTTGAGTTCTTAGCTGAAAACGCAGAAAACGAAACACATCTTCAAGTCTTCACTCGCTTCCAGACACATTTCTACAAACGTCTGCCCCAAACCCCTCAGGTCATTAGGGTCACCTCGACGAGTTCAGACCGGGCCCGAAAACAGCTCAACGGCAGGTAAAACCAGTCCAGCAGAATGACCAGCGGACGGGTCACAACAGTCAAACCCAGTACATGTCATTTACACAACAAAAAAACCTGGAATATTGACACTTTACTACTGTAAACAAACATTTACAGCCAATGCGCTACCGGCACAACACATATACATGTATAAATAAACAATTCAGCACCGCCACAATGGAAAAACGAGCACATCTAAAGACCAAAACATTAGTGTGGAAAAGACCTGATAACATCGCGAGCCATTTAAGTCACATGAGCAGCTCCCACACTCGATATCACTGAATTTCACCGTTTTACTTCACAATAATAATCCGATTAATCGCATCGCGCGGTTTGACTCGATTAAACGTGCGCGCGCTTGACACGTGACTTTCCACGCGCGCCCCCGCAGTACTAACAGAGCAGCGTCAAGTTACATTAACAGCGCATTAATGAGCATCAACACATTCCGACTGCTTTACTGAGCTTACACACACTTTCACCGCACTAATGAACAGAAACACACTCTCACTGCGCTCATGAATACACACACACACACACACACACCGCGCGTTATCAGTAACCGCCGCAGGACTCTCCGCTTCAGCGGCTCCTCGCTAGAGTTTCAGCCGCCGCCGGTGAGCGGTTTTCCGGCTGTGTTCAGAATCAGATAGAGAACCGCTAAGCTAACGGAGCTGCTCTTCTGGTGACTCTCGCCGGTCTGCGGCTCTTGCAGCCTGGTTGTCGGAGGGCCGCGGAGACTCGAGCTGTCAGAGACCAACACACACACACACACGCAGAGCCAAGAAACGGCACACACTCAGTGGCTCCTACCATTCTCTTCACCGTTCAGACTGTGGAGGCGCTGCTCCGGGGCGTGTAGCCATCTACCGGCGCCGTGCTGCTCGGGAAGCCGCGGATGGGGAGCCCGGTGGCGGTGGCGGCGCTGGGAGTCGTGTGTGTCCGCTGCAGCTCCAGCGGAAGGTGGATCTTTCATAATTGTGCGACTCTGGACTGACGCGGCGTGACGGAGCGGCTCTGAGCCCGACCCTCCGCTGAGTCACCGGGGGGCGGAGCATCACTGCGGGGCGGAGCCACAGCGGAGGAATTTAAATAAATTAAATTAAATAAATAAAAAAGAGCAGCTCACACACACACAAACTGCAGTTAACACACACACTGTAAAACATCTTACTACACACACTTCTTTCTGTTAAAACAATGAAAAAAAGTTTAAACTTCACAGCAGTGACGATGACAATTACATTTCAATAATCTGTTGTAAGATTATATATAAATATACACCGCAGAGAACAGCAGCACATGTCCTCATACAGCGCAGATATTCATCAATCATTCATTCATTTTCTTTACAGCTTAGTCCCTTTATTTATCAGGGGTCACCACAGCAGAATGAACCGCCAACTATTTTTTTATACAGCAGATGCCCTTCCAGCTGCAACCCATCACTGGAAAACACCCATGCACACTCATTCACACACACACTCATACACTACAGCCAGTTTAGTTGATCAGTTCCCCTATAGCGCATGTGTTTGGACTGTGGGGGAAACCGGAGCACCCGGAGGAAACCCACACCACCACGGGGAGAACATGCAAACTCCACACAGAAACACCAACTGACCCAGCCGAGACTCAAACCAGAGACCTTCTTGCTGTGAGGCCACAGTGCTGACCACTGCACCACCGTGCCGCCCATAACTGATAAATTTTACCTTGTGTTTAGTTTCTCCAGCTGCTGTCTGATGATTTGAGAAGCTTCTTTAATCCACACTTGTAAATCGCTTTATATAAAGAGTCTAAACGAGTAAACGTGTGTGTGAGGAGAATAATCTAATCAGTTCAAGAGAGACCAGTTAATAAAATTCCATTAAAAATATTTAATTAATTACATAACATTTAATTATTATCACATTATAATGTTATAATTAGATCAAATGAAATATAATGCAGTTTCTGTTATGTTTAGTTATGTTCATAAAAATATATACATGCTGAAATATTTCTAACAGCATAAATATTACAATAAGATGTGTCAAAATGCTATAAAATCTTAAGTTTTTGCAGAAATGTTTGCTTTCAGATGTAAACAGTGAAGTGTGTGTGTGTGTGTGTGTGTGTGTGTGTGTGTGTGTGTGCGTGCGTGTGTGTGTGTGTGTGTGTGTGTGTCAATAGATGAACATTTACATCATAAACAAAACTTTATGAGCAAAAACAGAAATATGTCTGTGGTCATAAATAAGGGTGCTGTGTTTTTCATTCAGTCTGTAAGAGGAATAAATCAGCTCTCCATTGATGTTTGGTTTATTTGAATAATCTGTGAATAATCACCTTTAAAGTTCAAATTAATTTCTTACAAATGCATATGATTAATCAGACACTGGGATCTGATGTATTTAGGGTGGAAAACTTATAAACATCTTCATTAAATATTGACCTTAATACCTCAATAATGATATTTTACATTATAGGAAAATCTATAATGGGCGGCACGGTGGCGCAGTGGGTAGTGCTTTTGCCTCACAGCAAGAAGGTCACTGGTTCGAGTCCTGGCTGGGTCAGTTGGTGTTTCTGTGTGGAGTTTGCATGTTCTCTTCATGTTGGCGTGCACTCTTGTCCCCAAGAAGGTACAAACCCTTGTCACTGGAACAGAATTGTACCTTAAGACAAAGAAGCACACGTGTACCGCTGCAGTTTGTACCTTTAAGGACATGATCTGTACCAGGGAACACTGAAATGATGCACCCTTGGTTTTTAAAACCTGCAGATGCAATACTGTACCTTCATCACAGGAACACATCTGATCTATGACAGCACCACTTTATACCTTAACAGTGTCAAAAATGCTTCCTAAACATTTATTTAAAGTGCCTTAAGTGTTTAGTTTACAATACATATAGTTTGTTTTACCAGTTGTTTTTATTATAGAATTGAATAATTAATGTTTATAAGTTTCAGTAATCATATACTTTTAAATGATGATTCTTGTTTTATTATGAAAATTATTCATAAATCACTTTGCCGTTCCAGTCATATCTATTTTCATATGTATTGTAATAAAGACAGAGTTGTTTGACACTTTTGTACCTTCATTTCAGTTGTATAAAAGGCACAGAACAGCATCATAGGAGCTCTTTTCTGTACCATATAAGGTACAAAACTATTCCTCAGGGAACATTATTTGTATTGCCGTGTTCATTTTTCTCTGAGAGTGTGGGTTTCCCCCATCCAAACACATGCGCTATAGGGGAACTGATCAACTAAACTGACTGTAGTATGAGTGTGTATGGGTGTTTCCCAGTACTGGGTTGCGGCTGGAAAGGCATCCGCTAAAACATATGCTGGATTAGTTGGCGGTTCATCCCACTGTGGTGACCCCACATTTATAAAGGGACTCAGCCGAAAAGTACATGAATGAATGCTGTTTGCAGCTTTAACAGAGAGATGATGTTGAATTATTATTTTTTTTAATAATCTTTTTATTGTTATTGTGTTAAATTATTCACGCAGAGGAGAATACACAGCTTTATTGTAGATTTGATGAGTGTATTTCTGTTCCTGTACACTGATCGACTCCTTCTATAACTCATTTGATGAATTTCCTGCAAATCCTCCTGTGTATCTTCAGCTTTGAGCTTCAGGGTCCGATTTGACTACAGTTTGACCACAGCGACGGCACTTCATCAATCATTTCACACAGAACATCCAACAGCACACGTCTGACGCTCCTCTGTAAATGCTGATGAATTAAAATCATATAGAATTCTACAAGGAAAGCTTTCATTTTAAGAGATTACACATTTATTTTATTACATTTTTGTGTTTACTTTTCTTATGTAATCACACACACACACACACACACACACACACACACACACACACACACAATTTTCATTCATTTCATTTTCTTGTCTGCTTTGTCCCTTTATTAATCCGGGGAATGAACCGCCAACTTATCCAGCACATTTTTACGTAGCGGATGCCCTTGCAGCTGCAACCCATCTCTGGGAAACCTCCACACACACACACACTCATACACTATGGACAATTTAGCCTACCCAATTCACCTGTACCACATGTGTTTGGATTGTGGGGGAAACCGGAGGAAACCCGGAGGAAACCCACGCCAACACGGGGAGAACATGCAAACTCCACACAGAAACACCAACTGAGCCGAGGATCGAACCTGCAACCCAGCGACCTTCTGGTTGTGAGGCGACAGCACTACCTACTGTGCCACTGCGTCGCCCACACACACTATTCTCACACTGTGAAATACACTAGAACTGTCTCTCTCTCTCTCTCTGTAAAACGTTTCACTTGGTTAAACTTGCAAACTCAAGTTGACCAACTGCGTTGAAAACGAGACTCAACTCAATTCTTTAATCTTTATTTAAGATGTTTCACAATCTATTTAACTAAAACTTATGTTGAAACAAAGAAGCACATTTTCCAGTTTGTAAGTTCACCCAAGTGAAACGTTTTACAGAGAGACAGAGAGACAGAGACGGACAGTTCTAGTCAATTTCACAATCAGACAGCAAATTAAAGATTAATAGAAGGAAGAGGAGCTGCTCTCCTGTAAATCATCCAACAATAATGTTCAACACTCGGAAAAATGGATCATCGTTCAACTTCAGCCTGAACTGCAGATCCTGAACAATGAAGAGATCCGCTCACACAAACACACTCAGCAGCCCGGGCTGTGTTCAGATCGGTCTTTATTACATGAGAAGGCAGCACAGATGAAGCCGGATCAATCACTGATGTCAGCTTAGAGAATATAACCCAAACATTACGCTATAAAACGATCATAAAAAGGAGAGACGGACACAACAGCAGCTGATCTAAGGCCCCTTGAGGAATCATTCAGACACTCGTGTGTGTGTGTGTGTGTGTGTGTGTGTGTTTTAGTAAAGTGTCACAGTGTAAAGATGAAGATCATGATGATGATGATCCTGTGCTTTGTCAGTCAGAAACACACACAGAGAAAGAGAAAGTGTGTGTGTGTGTGTGTGTGTGTGTGTGTGTGTGTGTGTGTGTGTGTGTGTGAAGCTCAGCAGCTCCTCACTCCACCAGCTGCTCCAGCGTCTCCATCTGAAAAGAGAGAGAGTGAAATTATAACATGCACGCACACACACACACACACACACGCACACGTACACACACTCCAATGACATGCAGACTCACACTACGACACTACAGATGCACATAAACAGTTGGTAGTCTGTTAATCTGGGTTATTCTCTGGGTTATTCTGGTTGGAGTTAGAGATCCAGTGAAATCTGCATTTTTATTGGATGTCTGACGTAATCTCAACTGACACATGTAGAGAGGGTGGGGCATATAGTAGCTCCTCCCCTTTTATAAAAATCAGCCAATAGTGTTGTGTTTTTCTCCCAGCTGAGAGTGGCTGAGCTCAAGAGCATCAGATAAACCGCCAATAAGCAGAAGGAGGCGGGGCGTGTCAGACAATAGAGAGCATCTGATTGGTCAGAAGATTTGAA